CGTCTCCATGGCCCTCTCTCAAACGTCCAGCACTTGACCGCTACTCGGCGCCTCTGCTTAAGAAACGATCTCGCGTTCGCAGTCGGTGCGAAATCAAATAAGTTAAATCCACTCTTCCAGCGTGAAACCAAACGGTGAATCACTTGAATCCATCTTGTAAATGGACTGATTCAATTGAGATTTGGGGTTTAATGCTGGCAAACTTGATCAGGATTCGTAGTTGAAATTGGATACAATGCAGCGCGGCGGCGCGGTCGGCGCCAGTAAAGGCGGGGTCCTGGAGCGTCTCGCCCTCCGTCCTCCACAGCACGGCCGCGGATGGCCGGCGCTGGGCAGCGTCGCCCGCTCTCACCCTGTAGATGGCCTTGTCCTCCTTCTCCTGCTCTGAGGAGTTGTAGCTGGAGCCACAGCAGGAGCCTTCGAACGGCGACTTGTTGCCGCTCCGCTCACCGCTCCGGCTGCTCGGCCTGCCCGGATGAAGAAACTATCATTCGCCTGACAGCCTGCCCGGCCTACCCGGACTCAAGAGCACGTAACTTGCCTGACTGTCTGCCCGGCCTACCCGGACTCAGGAGCACATTACTCGCCTGACTGCCTGCCCGGCCTATCCGGACTCAAGAGCACATTACTCGCTTGACTGCCTGCCCGGCCTATCCGGACTCAGGAGCACATTACTCGCCTGACTGCCTGCCCGGCTTATCCGGACTCAGGAGCACATTACTCGCTTGACTGCATGCCCGGCCCATCCGGACTCAGCAGCACATTACTCGCATGATTGCCTGCCCGGCCTATCCGGACTCAGCAGCACATTACTCGCCTGACTGCCTGCCTGCCAGCTCCCCCCGCAGCAGACCATTCTGCCCGATCTGCCCACCGCCACCGTCTGTCTGTCTGTACGTCCCTCTGTCTGTCTGTCCGTCAGTCTGTCTGTCCGTCTGTCTGTCTGTCTGTCTATCTATCTGTCTGTCCTGTCTGTCTGTCTGTCTGTCTGTCTGTCTGTCCGTCTGTCTGTCTGTCTGTCTGTCCGTCTGTATGTATGTATGTCGCTCCCCCCCCCCCACCCCCACTCCTCGGCTGCCCGCTCTGACCGCTGCTCTAGCTAGTCCTCCGTACTCTGCCCCGCCCGCCGCCCTGTCTGTATGCCCTCCTCAGCTCGCTCCTCGGCTGCCCGCTCTGACCGCTGCTCTAGCTAGTCCTCCGTACTCTGCCCCGCCCGCCGCCCTGTCTGTATGCCCTCCTCAGCTCGCTCCTCGGCTGCCCGCTCTGACCGCTGCACTAGCTAGTCCTCCGTACTCTGCCCCGCCCGCCGCCCTGTCTGCATGCCCTCCTCAGCTCACTCCTCGGCCGCCCGCTCTGACCGCTGCACTAGCTAGTCCTCCGCACTCTGCCCCGCCCGCCGCCCTGTCTGTATGCCCTCCTCAGCTCGCTCCTCGGCCGCCCGCTCTGACCGCTGCACTAGCTAGTCCTCCGCACTCTGCCCCGCCCGCCGCCCTGTCTGTATGCCCTCCTCAGCTCACTCCTCGACCGCCCGCTCTGCGCACCTTGCCGCCGTTCACCGCGGCGACGCAAGCTGCACGATGTTTCTCCAATAGCGTCAGCGAGGCTATAGAGAAGTCGTTGATGTTCCATTAGAGTCGAGCGAACCCCATCAACTTCGCGTTGATTGAGTGGACTCGTAGCCTTTTTGCTCTCCTTTCAACGCGAAGTCATTTACAATCTGCATTTCCGTACCCGGTCTCCAATCGCTTAAAGGACGCATTGTCCAGCGTCGATAGCACAAACAAGCCAATACAGAGCTGTCCCACACGCTACAGACACATGCAGGCCCACGTGAGGGATAGACGGCCGGCTTTTCCGACCAACAAAGACGAACACGGCAGCCATCAGGAGGTAGCTATGCGGGAGAAGGGCAGTCACTGACCTGGATGTTCTCGGTGACCCCTCGTACGGAGTACGCGTGCCGCTGGGGCTTCTGTAACGAGAACCAATGGCCCCGTTATCAGGTGGCAGGAGTGCCCCAACGCTCTTCGGCGAGCCGCGCGGCGTGTGGCGCGTTTAAGGTCAGCGCATAAAGGGCAGGCCCGAGAGAACCTGGCTCCATTCTCCCCCCCCCCCCCCTCCCCCCCCCCCCGTCTGCACGCGAGCTCAGGGTCAAAGTCGGTCTGCTGAGGCAGTCGTTGAATATTTGACAATTGAAAATGCGCTCTGTCACCAAATGAGGTGGTGGTATAGCATGTCATTACAGTCATTGCGTTATCTTGCAACGTATTCATTAACTACAATATCATGGTTTCAATCCCACAAGGCAATTGTGAATTCAATGTAAGACAAGTCGCTGAAATCAAACCGGCGCGTCTCGACGAATGCGTCACATTCCCGCAACAGGCCAGACTGGCGGTGCGGATTACCGCGGAGATCGCACCGCTTCCAGAGCCTGAGGCTCCGATGGAGAACTGCTGCGTGGGAGGGAAGCGTGCTCCTTCGGCCGCGCAACACGGAATAGGGTCGGGGGGGGGGGGGGGGGCGCTCGCAATGACGAGTCAGCGGGAACAAATACTGAAATTGCGACGAAGTGCCATATAGAGCAAACACCTAGCCCCGCAGTGAGCAAACGACCAAGTGATGATCGTAAGGCAACAAAACACCGACGCAATTGGAATGAGCGTCACTAAGTAATTCAGAAGCCATCACTGAGGCGGAATTATGAGAACACCTAAAAAAGCCGTACATACCATGGCATAAACTTCAAGAGAACGCTCCCATTCTAAAGACATCAAGACAAACATCAGACTTGATGACCTAGGCTGAATTCAATTATTCGTTTGCGTTTAAGTGTAAAAAACTTCTATAGACAACAAAATTTCACTTACCCTGAAATATGTTCCTCGGTGCGTCATCGCCCGATTACGTCAATAACTACAACAAAATCGTAATCGAGTAATAAAAAATCGAGTGCAACAAAATTTCACTCCTTAGAAAATATGTTCCTCGATACGTCACCGTCTGATTACGGCATAAAACGTCTTTATGTTGTCAGAGTCGCTGCCAGACTGGCCGTGTCAGAATTGTCACTGAAACGGACAGGCTGACTCACTTGTAGTGCTTCAGCTTGCCGAGAGATGGGGATGTTTGCTGGTGCGTGTTTGCTTAACCCGAACACCGCTGTGTGCCCGTGTTTTGGCCATTTTTCGTAGTGTTCCTGCATGTTGGCAGTGATTTTATTCTGTTTTCTTGCACTCACGTGCTTAGTTATGGTGCTGTTGAAGGGAATGTTCCAAAGTTGAAGATATTGAGGCAAGCATCCGATATTATTAAAATAAGCTCGTTTATAACTGTCGGTGTACTTTTAAGTGGAAAAGGCAACTTTAGACAATACGACTTCTCTGTTAAGTAATTATCCTCCTTAATACGCCATTGTTTAGTTGCGTCATCGCATCTCGAACAAAATTGATTGAGAACCAATTGACGGCCATTACGTATCGAAATCGTGCCTTCGCACGCCAGATAGGTACGACACGACAATTATGTTTTCATTGGCCTTGATCGCTGCATGGCCGATGGAATGGCAGGACTGGAAAGACGTTATTACAGCGTCATAGATGTTTAGGTGACCATGACATAGCCTCCCGAAATAGTCTGCACATTTTCGCGGGCGTGTAGATTAGAAACAAGAGAGGGTTCGGTCTCAAGAATGACAGGGCTGTAAACTATACGGAATGATCTTCCAAATGATTATTCAGTTCAAAAATCCATACAAATATGGAGCACTTCCTTCAAGTTATTCCACTCTCACCTTTACTTTCGTTATGACTCATACGACGGCCTGAATTCCTGTATCATGTTACACGAGACGTGGCTCGTGTTCACTGATGTCATGAATCATGGCGACGTTGGCCAGACACGAATTATTTCAGGATCATATTCTTATTGGTCTTGAACACCACATGACCAATGAGGTGGCGGTACAAGCGTAAAACTGCGTGTAAAAATCCTGGACAGAATAGGACAAGGGAGCAAGTTTTTTTGCACAACAAACCAACGAAGTATCCAGAAAAAAACAACTGACGGCCATGATATGTGCTTTCAGTGACGTCAAGCAGCCAAACTGCGCCTCGCACATCATCGTCCGCGCTTACCACAGCTGCGGGCGCCACATGAAGGCCTGATTTCCCACCGAATGGCTCCTGGCGTGGCAGGTCCCACATACAGTACTGAGTAAACTGCGCCAGCGCCCACGCGACGCCCCGCCAACACGAACCGCCGTACGGCACACCGCCCGTCGCCTCGATTGGCTGTCGGCGCAGGAGCTGGCGTATCACCGCGTGTATACACGCAGCCACGCCGGCGTCGTGCCCGTGGCCAGGTGCGCTGTCTGCTCTGACTTGGTGTGGCTATCGACCCCGGCAGCTGGCGTATCACCGCGTGTATACACGTAGCCACGCCGGCCCGTCGTGCCCGTGGCCAGGTACGCTGTCTGCTCTGACTTGGTATGGCTATCGACCCCGGCAGCTGGCGTATCACCGCGTGTATACACGCAGCCACGCCGGCGTCGTGCCCGTGGCCAGGTACGCTGCCTGCTCTGACTTGGTGTGACTGTCGACCCCGGCAGCTGCGTGGTGACTCGACTCTGGCTCACCGGGCCAGCTCTGGCAGCTGAGCGGTGACTCGACTCTGACCCACCGGGACCAGCTCCGGCAGTTACGCGGTGACTCGACTCTGGTTCATGGGACCAGCTCCAGAATCTGCGTGGTAACTCGACTTTGACTCACGAGCCAACTCCGGCAGTTACGCGGTGACTCGACTTTGACTCATGGAGCCAGCCTCGGCCGCTGCACGCTGACTCTCCCTTGACTCAGGGTCCAGCTTTTTCAGCTGCACGGTGACTCGACTCTGTCTCAGGGGCCAGATCTGGCAACTGCGCGGTGATTCGGCTCGACCGCCGGCGGCGTTCGCAGCGCCGCCGGCACAGCTGCTGGCTGTCCGAGGGTTGCCAATCAATGATCGACCAACAGACGTGAGAACGCTCAGCGTCCGCGGCTGTGGCCAGGCCGCGGTCGCCGACCCGGGACCTTGAGCGCCGCCTGGGTCCCGGGGGAGTCAGCACACCTGCACGCCCCGGCACGAGCGCGGAGGAGGCGCAGACTCGGGCGGGAGCCAGCTGCCGCCCCCGAGAACGCGGGGTTGGTACCGCGGGATGGCGTCGCCTGGCACCAGAACTGTTGGCGCTCAAGGTAAGTCGGTGGGGGGAAGCGGCGTAGTCACTCAAAGACGGACTCTTGTCGGTAGGCAGGGGGCAAGGGTATATTTTTGCCTCCGCAAAATTTGGAGAAGTTTGCCCAAACTGAAGACTTTGTGCCTCAACGCAAGTGAACAAAGTTCACATCACGGAGGTCCGATAGCTGAGCTAGAGGGTACTAAATCTGAATCAAGAGACCCCTACTATTGTCAAGGAGTCTGTTTTATGGATCATGAGGACGTCGTCATGAATTTAGTCGATCATATTCTGGGTCAGGACTCTCTTTGTTGTGGTAAGGGGGCCCTGTTCTATCTCGGTAGGCCCATTTTGAGCTAAGAGGCCATATTTTGGGTCGGCGGCCCTTTCATGTATCAGACGGCTTCAATTCCGAATCAAGATGCCCTACTTTTGAGTTAATAAAGCCCTTTATTACATTTGGAGGCTCCCGCTGTTAAACTTACTGATCCTACTCTGGATGAGGAGGCCCCTTTACGTTTTTTTTTTTTTGTATCGAGGAGACCTTGCGTTAATCAAAAGATCCCTATTCTGGATTTGTTAACGGTCGACATTCATGGATATTGCCACATGTCACATTTTGACAAGGGGTCACGTGCCCCGGCGTCCCCGTTCCCCCGTATGTGACACTGTCCAGGAGGCTGCGTTATGGGGAGGTTTTATTTTGTTTAGGAGCCCCCCCCCCCAGAAAAAAACCCTGCCCCCAACACAAAATCCGTGGCGTCGCCCCTGATGCGGAGGAGCGGGGCAGAGCGTGGGAGCTAATTAGGCAAAGAAGCACTATAGCTAAAGCAGCTATATAGTTCAATTAGCGCCCCTCCCCCCTCCCCCCCCCCCCAGCAACGCATTTACATCTGCAAACGTGACTCCGTCGGCAAAAAACCAAGCGTAGTAATCATGTCCCCACGCGCAAAGAAACACAAACAGAAGAACTACGACTAATGTAACCGATCACATAATCGGTGTTTACAGTCGTCATTATAGCTGCGGCTTAACAGCAGTTTGGGAATAATCAAATGCCATTGAACGGGCAGTAAGCACTAGCTGTAAAGCAGGTGCATTAAGTAAGAATTTCCCTGTAGAACACCTCAATCCAGCATTTCTATTATCCTGCTTTGCTCTCCTCAAGCTTGTCCATGTCTCAATAATTTACGAAACCAAAAAATGGTTTAATGAGCAACAAGTGACCTTAATGAACTTGGTGACGTAATGACCTTCCCGACTTTCCGATCGTCTGCAGTTTCTCCGCCTCGCTGAGGGTACCGCACGTGGTAAGGCCGCCGACCCGCCGACGACGACGCCAGCTATCGCATACAGTTGGCCGCAGGGTGGCCGGCTCCCCCGCGGGTGTGGCACAGCCGGCACAGCTGTTCGTGCACGCCCGGTCCGTGACGTTCATGGTTCGATCCAGCGCCGAAGAGCGGGACTCTTGCACGCCATGCCATGTGGACTGGCTCGTTGCACGTCACCTGCGGCCTGGCTGATGGGTCACTGACCCGGTTGTCGAAGACGTGTGGCGGGCGCGCTGACCTGTTGTGGGGTGACCTAACTGGCCCGTCGTAAGTGGCTTGTGACTGGCCCAGGGGTGAACTGAGCTGGTGCGGAGCGTCACTGACGGACATCACACCTTGGGTGACCTTGACCTCGGACCTGATGACCTGCCGTGGGCGGCCGGAGCCCCGGCCGGCGGACTGACCTGCTGTGGGTGGCCGTGGAGCAGACCGACGTGTTGGAGCGCGAGATGAGCGAGTCGCCTCGGTTCACCACGCCCTTGCTGGTTATGCTGAACGTGCGCAGTCGGTAGATGTCGCCGCGGTCGCGCGGGTTGTACGGTTTGTCGGGCAAACTGCAGACACGCGGCCGCTGGTGGTTCGGCACTGCGGGTCAGACGAGGCCGGCCGGTCAGCTGGCGCGCAGGCGGACATCATGACCTCGGCACATACGCTGAGGGGTCGGTCGCACGGGCATCTGTATAATAGATGTGCCTGGAGCCCTTTCCAGCACGCACTGGGCACGAGGTTGTTGGCGTGGTTTTAGCGACCCCCACTTTTTGAAAAGGTGAAAGCGACACACGTCGCTACGCACCCTTTTGTGCAGCGCCGGAAAATGTAGTGGAAATATGAACGCTCAGGGACCATGGCATGACCAAGCTTCGAACCTGCCACCCCCAGCTCCTCCCCCCATGTGAAGCCAGAGGTGCTAATCGCTCGGCTGCTGCCGCACTGCGCCGCAATACGCTGCACTAAAATTTGCTTGCGGGGTCACCAACATTAGCCCAATGCAATTTTTGGCCAATGCAATTTGGCCAAAGTATTACTCGTAAACCCACGGCAACTTTCACTTGCAGTTTCCGGGCAGCGTGGTCCTATTTTTGCTTTGCGGACACTCCGAACTATCGTGACCTTATCATAATCAACCACCGAGCCTTTAGGCTGAATGCCTTCATGACCTACGAGACAGACCCGGGATCTACAATTGGCGGCTGAATCCACGAGCAGGATTACTAGGAAATAATCAGCGACCTGTGCATATCAATTGTGGAATAAGTAGGCACCGTTGTGTATCAGCCACCAACCATTGTCTTAATGCTAGCTTAACGGCCCGTCATCCGTCACTAACCGCATGTTTACTGTCAGTTGTGGAAGGAGCGCACTGGCCGCCCAAGGACTGGCTAATAATGCACTGTAATCTGTCCAGGAAGATGTTGTGACGTAGCTGCACTTTTGTATTGCTTGCTGGCTGCTGCTGATGAGGAAATGTTGCAAACTTCTGTACTCTACAGCGCCAATAAGTCTTTGGTTGACTGGTCTCGGCCTGGATTGATTAAAGCAATCTTTGGCCTTTGATACACAACGGTGCCATCTTATTCCACGCTTTATATGCACAGCTCGCTTGTAAGCTTCCCAGAACGGCTGGATTTGCCTCTTTGAGCCGTTCGTTTGTTGAGGGAGCACTGGGCCACACAAAGAAAGTTCATCGCTTGGTTACACGTGCAACGGGCTTCATAGGAAATCACAGAAGCAATATATCACAAATGCCAAGCAATATGGTCTAGCCGCAGCGTTCTTCGAATTACATTCTCTAGTTTTCTAGCCAACATCTGAGGGTTCAAAATTACGAAACTTCTGCCGCACATTGAGCCTTCTTCACCAGCAATGCCGCATCCTGGTTCAAGCCAGAACTTGACAAATCCTCCGAGTTGGAGGCGAGAAATGCCACTTCATGCAATTTCAAGTCGTAAAGCCAGCACAGCTGACTTGTAGGCAATCGCGCGGTTCCTGACGCGATCGCCTACTTCAGTAGCATGAAATTACGTTTGAAAGTGATACACGCCCAGATGATTTGACCCCGGCCAGCAATACCAACTTTCGATCTGTTGTTTACTGATGACGTAATACATTTGTGATCTGTGGTAACATACTTTCTTGGATTATCCGATTGTACGGAACTCATTCTTTTAAGTTATACCGAATTTGTTTGCAACTGCCCACACCGTTCAACAACTACCATGGTAATGACTGGGTTTGGACTGGTTCGACCCCACACAGGTAGTCGTAAATCCATGGACTTAAAACTTTGTGAAAATTTTGGTGATGCTTGGTGGATGGTTTTGATGAAGGTGATGTGTTGGTTTTTCGTGCACGTAAGCAGGATGTATGCAGGGGGACACAAGTGTCACATACCCCTTACCCTTCTCTCAGCTCCCGAGGATCCCTTTGAGCTTCTCGAGAATGACGATTGAGCGTTTAATTGGGCGTCGAAGGGCTGTACTGAGGTCGTGTTAGGGCGCACCGACCCGTAGGAACGGGCCGTATCGGTAAGAGAATTGGGCCCACAAAACAGACTGGGCCACATCCGGTGCCATATGTTGTGGAGGGATAGGGGGGGGGGGGGGGTTGCCAGATCACTTAACTCTATGCCTCTCTCCCCTTAACAAGATGCTGGCTGCGCCCCTCCGTGAAGCACAGGTGATCGCTATTGCAACAAACGCTCACCATTGTTAATCGCAATTTCAATAAATTTTCTTCAGCTAGGACGGATGCTGGTCGCCTGCCCTGGAGGTATGCCCTCCAGTTCTTTGACGCTCCAGAAACTCATCCGGAACTTAAAAGGAGAAACACCTCTACATAATTATCCCTCGGGCCAGAACATCATACGAAAAATAGTTTGTTTAAGTTATTTTTTTCTACGCAGGCATACCGTGTGAAGTATCTAATAGCAAACCTCCAGTTACCTTGAGACCCTTTTTCTCTTTTTGAAATGTCGCTCGTCACGAAACTGTAAATCCAAAAGAGCTTTCAGCTATGTTTCTATGAACTTTGGAGAGAATCATAAAACCACAGACAAACTTACCAGTCCCATCAGAGCAACAAAAATGTCACCATTCTTGAACTTTTTCTTTTAGATGACGGTGCCACAACGCCACAGGCCTGGAGCACAGTGCTGTTGTCACAATGCAGGTGACATTGTGGGATACTAGCCTCCCGTAGGATTCTGTTAGAGCCGGAACCCCGACAAAGAACTGCAGCGCAAAAGGACAGAACAAACGGCAAAACTCACGGCGTACCTGAAGAAGAGTGTCATCTGCAAATTCCTACTCATCTAAGTCAAAGCTGTTTTTGGTGGGTGCCTTTAAACCTGTGTAGCTTGTGGTGGGCTGCACGGTTACAGCCTAAGCGTCCCCAACTCACTATGGCGACATACCCCCAACAGTGCAAAACACTATGGCGACATACCCCCAACAGTGCAAAACACTATGGCGACATACCCCCAACAGTGCAAAACACAAAACACGCCCCTCCCCCCTCCCCCCCCCCCCATTCACCACTGCTGCCACGAGCCTGACGTGGCTGCAGGGCACGTGGCCGTCACGTGACCGCGCGTGACCGCCGGTCGGCCGCTGACCTGGCAGCTCGAGGAAGTTGGACGTGCGCCGGTGTCGGAAGCGGGTGCAGTCGAGCGGGGTCGGCTCACCGCGCTCTGAGTCCCGGCTGCTGCGACGCGACGCCAGGTACGCCAGGTTCCCGCCGCGGAACGGACTGCAACGGAGTCGCTCGGGTCAGCGGAGCGCGACTTCCAACAACATTCAGCGGAGTTTCCGGCAACTTGTAAAAACTGTGGCTCGCTGTTTAAAAACAACAGCCGACAAATCGAGTTGGATTGGCGAGCAATTTCAAACTGCTTCTGATATTCGTTTCGATAAAGGCACGTAGCCGAATTATTAAGGCACATATCTCTCCTTTATCCTGGTTAGTCTACGAGGAATCAGGCTAACAGCACTGTCTTATCCATATCTACCATGTTCCTCGCCGATGCACTTGACAACTTATGTAACTAGAAGGACCGACTGGTGTTCAGCTTTCAGCCAAGTTTATCCATGGCATCGACCAACAGGGCGACAGAGGCGCGCCGGTCGCCGAGCGAGCACGCGGCTAGGACTGCCGTCGGCTGACGGAGCCGTTTACCGGCGTCTCGTTACGGTCCGGTGCGCCGGTCTAGAGGCCGAGCCTCGCCCGCCGATCCGACCGTCCAATTACCGGGAGACGGAGCGGCGCCAGGCGGCGGAGAACCGGCCGAGCCCGGCCACCGCCTCGCCGGAGCCGGCTGGGCTAGGCCGGTTGAGCCAGACCCAGCCCCGCCGGAGCCGGCCGAGCTAGGTCACCGCCTCGCCGGAGCCGGCCGAGCTAGGCCGGTTGAGCCAGACCCGGCCCCGCCGGAGCCGGCCGAGCTGGGTCATCGCCTCACCGGAGCCGGCCGGGCCAGGCCGGCTGAGCCAGACCACAGCCTCGCCGGAGCCGGCGCCGGCGAGGCCACCGCCTGGCCGGAGCCGGCCGAGCTAGGCCGGTTGAGCCAGACTACAGCCCCGCCGGAGCCGGCCGAACCCGGCCACCGCCTCGCCGGAGCCGGCCTAGCCCGGCCACCGCCTCGCCGGAGCCGGCCGAGCCCGGCCACCGCCTCGCCGGAGCCGGCCGAGCCCGGCCACCGCCTCGCCGGAGCTGGCCGAGCCAGGCCACCGCCTCGCCGGCGTCGGCGGCGCCGGCCGGGCCGGCGGGACGCGCGGACGGCACCAGCATCGGCGCGGGACCTCGGCGCCGCAGGGTGCCGGGCTGCAGACCTGTTGGGTCCTGGCGCGGCGCTGAGCGACGTACCAAATGAAGGCGTCGTCCTACAGGAGGTGGCCACAGATCGTGGTGCGCCAACTTTGTTGAAGGAGTGAGCCCGCTGCTGTATCACTGGATTGTGGCATAACTTCAAACAGCGCAGCACGCATTAAGGCGTATTGGTACCGATTGTTCAGTTAGGTGGGGCTTTAAAAAGCAATGTCTCAAGTAGCGTTGCATTCGGAATATCTCTCAGATTTCTGAGGGTCAAGAAGGGTGAGACTGACGCTTCGTAATTGGCACTGTTCTAAGGGTTTGACCTTAAAGTTGCCGACTCAAGAAGCATACGTAGCCTGCAGGCATTCCCAATCTTAAATGAAAATCATTTGCACTCAAAGCATGCAATGTTCCCAAAAATGACGTGTTAACCGTATCATGGTGCCACCGCGCCTGTAGGAGTACAAGCACGTGGAATGTGTTGATGCTCCTCCTACGTGCCCTGACACGTTAACAACCGCCAGATGGGCCAGCAGATCGCTGCCGGAGGACATACATCATGCTCACAAAACGAGAGGGCGCTCACATGGATGCAACGAGTCCAGCAAAGGCGGTGACCGTGAAGATAAAATTGATGTGGCTCTCAAGCGAGGCTCACGACCTGTTCTGAGAACGTCAACGCATGGCTTCGGCGGGCTTCACGGTGAACAGCAGCTTTGAAGCAGAGCCTCTGGCCTGTAACAGTTATGAAGAGCTGTAGCTTGTATGCAGAGTTGGCCAGGGCGATACGGAAACATATCGGATCGGATCTCCGACGTTATGAAGTGTTTTTGCAAAGAAAGTGAGTTATTGCGCCGTCCCTTTGCCGGTTAATTCACTCAGCGACTGTGACTGCGTGTTGGAAGCGACCCGGGCACGGGCTGTGCTCGGGGCTCGCACGACGACGGCCGTGGAACATGTCTGTATGATCAGCGCCGGCACGTGGTGTGTTCCATTGCGTATTCTTGCAAAGTATAACATGATTATGTGCGATAAAGCGCGTCAATGTTCTGTTCATTCTCTCAGGTCTGGTTGCCTGGCGACGTCTTAATGTCGTCGGAACTAGAGGGAAACACGTTTGGGCAAAAGCGACTGCTAAGAATCGATTCCAATTTTACGTAACGAACGTAGTTCGCGTGAAAAGATTGAACTGACAGCTGGCGGCAATTGTATTACCGTGCACTTTCCATCGGAAATTGGTCACATAGTGCAGATGAACGCTCCTTGGTGCATCAGCCATCGTCCAACACCTGTCATCTGCCAGAGGTCCGTCATCCCCGTCATCACCGGGACGTCATCCCCGTCATCGCGGGACGTCATCCCCGTCATCGCCGGGACGTCATCCCTGTCATCGCCGGAACGTCATCCCTGTCATCGCCGAGAGGTCATCGTCATGCCGATTCATCCCGTCATCGCCGGACGTCATCCTCGTCGCCGGATCATCCCGTCATCGCCGGACGTCCCGTCATCGTCATCCGTCCGTTCATCCACCGCGGATCCCGCATCGCCGGACTCATCCCTGTCATCGCGGACGTACCCCGTCATCCCGACGTCATCCCCATATCGCCGGGACGTCATCCCCGTCATCACCGAGAGGTCATCCTCGTCATCGCCGAGAGGTCATCCTCGTCATTGCCGAGAGGTCTCTAGTCATCGCCGGATTCATCCCCGATCGCGATTGGTCTTCCGAGCCGGGACTATCCCCTCAGGCGGAGTCATCCATCCCGAGAGTCATCCTCGCTCGCGGACGTCATCCCCGTCATCGCCGGGACGTCATCCCCGTCATCGCCGGGACGTCATCCCCGTCATCGCCGGGACGTCATCCCCGTCATCGCCGGGACGTCATCCCCATCATCGCCTGGACGTCATCCCCGTCATCGCCCGGACGTCATCTCTGTCATCGCCGAGAGGCCATCCTCGTCATTGCCGGGACGTGTCCTGGTGTCGCACCGGTCTACACCACCACAACTGCGGCACGGCAGACGGCTGGGTCTGCTGGTTGTTTCCTTTCCGCACTCCCATTACCATATCAAAGTACATTTCGGCATCGGTTTATAACGCCTTCGGTCTGTCCTAAACGTTCCTGCGCTTGGGGTGATTTGCGCTACTAGACATCGACGAAAATTGCCGTGTGGCGACCTCATCGCCGCCATCTTGGGCAAATTTTGGGGCTGCGCAGGGCACGGATGCCATGGTTTCTGCTGCTTTCGGAAGATAAACTATTTTGTATTCCAACGATACTAAGATTGCGCATAGAGGACTTGCTCCGTGACTGACACAGTGTCGTAGTGTGCAGGTCGTGGCATTGTACGTTGATGACCTGGTCAGTTTTGTATTTCTAAATTGTTGTTGCGGGGTTCCATGCCAGAGTAGATGTTGAGCAGTTTTTTTGTGCGCCCTGGCGCTATGCATTCATGGCAAGTGTAAATCCAACGTCGAGTCTTGGTAAGTCTAAGATCAAATTTATTGTGCCAGGCCCGTGGCGAAAAGGAGATAATTTATCTCGACATAAGCATGAAAGGTCGCAGCTCCTGGTATTTCGGTACCCTGAGTTCAGAGCTATTATACTGACACTTATCGGTCTTCAGTATACCATGAAGTGCTCGTTAAGACTTGGGTGACCTGGGCTGGGCGACCCTCTGAGGGCATGCCTGAATAATAGCACTACGTGGTTGTGCAGAGCCGTTGGTATTTCATATTTGATATCACTTTTGGGCAGGCTTGCTAATCATGTGAACAAAGGAGTCATAGACCCCCACCCCCTACGGAAATATCAGATTACAACGTATTGGTTTTCGATATCTGAATTACCGGCATGAGCTGAAAAGGCACTTCGCTGACTTTGAAAGGATCTTTATTGTGCTGGGGGTGTATAGATGAAAGCATCCTTAGTGAACCGCGCCACGTTTGGCTGGAAATGAGTAATTCCTCAGCGGTAAAGCAAAACTCTATTGCTCAGCTGTGCTCATCACTTTTTGCAATGCTGCTGGCTTTTGACCACAGCCCCGCAGTTGGTCGAATTTATTAAGAAGAAACGAAAAAAGAGTGTTCTCTACTGCCGTAATTAATGATAAAGGAAGAGCGACGCACATCGCCACGCCTATGTGAAGTACCAGTGACTGCACTGACCATAGTAAAGCTCAGGGGCCATAGCGCAGGCCGCGATTTTCTATTTTGTCACATGTTATCATCTAGTTCTTGACACGCCCTTATACTTGCTCGCACGTTACTGTGAGCACTTTCGGCCTCCGTTTTTTTCCGCTGGCTTACGCTTATTCCGGCCCACGAATACCCGGTTCTCCTCTTACTGTGATGAAGATGCACCGAGCATTGGCGCTTTTGTTATCCCAACATACGGCCAACGCCCCACAGCTGCGGCCGGCGGCCATCCATCACCGACCAAATCACGCCTGGGGACGGCGCAGCGCCGCGCAGTCGGCGCGGGCCGGCCGCGAGGAGGCGGAGGGACGCGACACGTCGTTTGTCCTGCGGCGACACGGCCGCGCCGCGCCGGGACAGTGTCGCCGGGCGGCGAGCGTGGCCGGAGCCGCGCCAGCAGGGCTGTGCCGGGCGCGGAAGAGGCCCGGCCGCACACGCAGTCTCGTCTCCCGACTCGCTGATGTGATCGCGCCCCTGGGAGCGGCCGCCGCAGTGCATCAGGATTCAGCGACAATCTCATGGCTGTCAGGAGGACTGAGCCGCAGCTGATGAAGTTGGTCAAGGAAGCAGTTTGCCTGGATGGCCAGTGGGGCGGATGCAAGTGGCTAGCTGGCGCGGATGTCCGTGGCGAAGATGGATGAGCCCGGGCGGCCTCCTGTCTCTACTAGTCTATTTATTTTGCTGCGTATTGCTGGCGCAATTCGGCGGCTCGGTCGGTTTGATATGCTAGCTCCAGCTATCCT